CCCACTTTGATTTGCCTTCAGCTCCTCGGATGCTGGCAGTGCATAAAGACTCTTGTGTTCACTCTCGCAGCCAACAGCAGAACATTTGGTGTGTTTTGTTTGCGGCGGAGACATTTTAGAGTTAGCAGAAGCAGCTCTTTAAAGTAAATAAACCTGGCGAACTGAGAGGCAGCTGCTCTTTCTAAATGGCTCATGTGGAAGCAGTGAGGGGGCAGGACTACGCAATTTACATATCAACTGGATGAAACTCTTACTGGCTTCTCAAGCTGGGAAGCCATCTGGTTGAGGGGAGACTTAAGAAATATCTGTGGAAAGTGGCTCCTCACAGCTTTTATTTCACACTTCGAAGGTTTCAAGACGTATAAAGCACAATAAAAATGGATTTTTACCATATGGGGCCTTTAAATATGGGGAAGCAGCCGCTCGTCATCCACCCACACAGGTGTTTTCTCTCTGTTGTTTAATTAGACCTCCTCTCAGGTCTGTGTGGGTGAATTTAAAATGCACTTGACTGACTCCTCTGTTGAAAGTTTTTACACCTTTATCGTTCTCACCGGAACATGAAGTTCGGTTGACGCGTAATTCCCAACACAGATCCACTTTAACTTCCACTCGGCTGATGTGTTTGAACGCAGTTGTGTGGGTTGGCGGGAGTAGAGTGGTATTGATCTTCTCGTCTTATTGTCTTCCAAAAAGCAAATTGGTATATTTCCAGCAAACTGTTCTTTTAAAAGTTAAGACCGCTGTTTCCTTTGGGATATACCCACTTAATTTTTTTTTTAGGCCGTATGTTTTCAGTGCCGATACGTGGTCTGTCAGGAAGCCCTCTGTCAGCAGCTTTCTGTAATGCTTCGTCTGCAACAAACTCACCTGAGCTGTCCCTTAAGATTGCTCACGCTGAGACTGGATTTGCTGGAAATTCAATACTGTGGATATACAGTGGAGGAGCTCATATGGAATTAGCTCAAGTTTAAAATGTAAACATCATATTCAGTGTGTGGTTTTTAGTGGTGCTACCCTTCTCAGGTTGGATGTAACCTGCTGTAGCTGCATTTCTGTCTATGTGACATTATTCCTGCTGTACAGTTGTAAGATAGGGATTCTAAAAAAGTTACCTAAACAGCATATTTGTCACAACTCAAAATACAGGACATGAAATTTGTCTGTCCTGACGTGTCAGGATGGTAAAATTTAACCCCTTAACGTAGAGTTTTCCTCTGTGAAACATTGAAGACTTGTTTTTATGGCTGCACCAAACTCTCATTAAATGGAAAGATGTTTTGTGCAGGATTTTAGTTTAGTTTCTTGGGAATTCAAAGCAACTTATTCCCTTATTTTTGTACTGTTCTTTATTGGAATCTTAAAAAGTCAGTTTGAAGATTGTTTGGCTGCACAGCATGACATGCTTGTTAAGTGATGGAAGCTTATATACAATATAGTTTTGCCGTTTTACTGCAGGACTTTACTACATCTCACAAATGTGATAGTTTATACTCCTGACATGAGCGGTCCTTCCCCCTCAGCTCACCTCCTGACCTTTCTCCTCTCGCAGCCCCTCGTAAAGCAGGACAGCCTGGACACGTACAACGAGCGAGACCCCTTCAAGAACGACGACGCCCGCGACGAGGAGGAGGACCCCGAGGACACCGACAGCGGCATCGAGGGGGAGGTGGATCCGCTGGACCGGGATGTCATCATCCAGCCGCCGCCGCCGCCTCCTCCTCTGAGACCCCCGACAGAGAGGGTCAACTTCCCCAAAGGCCTCCCCTGGGCGCCCAAAGTCAGGTTAGTCGCTCAGTTTTCGGTTTTCAACAGAACTTTACAGCGTGAAATATTAACCCTCTAAACCAAGATGTTCCTTGACAAAATGAAGAGCAGTTTTACACATTTAATACAATATTGTAAGCAAAATAGATGGAAAATACACAACAACTAAGCTTTGCAGCTGGCAATTTCATATAGAGGGGTACTTCTATATGAAGCCGAACCAACTCATGATTTCCATCAAGGTTTCCTTAATTTAGCAAAAAACAACCTTGAGATATATTATGTGAAATATAAAGCTATTTAAAGAAGAAAGTTTCAGGGCATTTTTCTAGAAGGAAAGAGAACTCTTTTTTTGCAGTACAAGAAAAAAAAAAGTTTTTTTTTTTTGGTTTTTGTTTTACAAAAATTGGAGAGAAAAATAATCCCAGCGGAATCAACATATACAACATTTTTCCAAGTGCCCACATGTGTTACCAATACTGGAAAAAAAAACTACACATACTATAGATACTCGAGTTACATTTTAAACTTGGTATCAGTTCTGTGTAAACACTGCCTGCAGTTCAACCCACTTCAGCTAGAAAGTCCCTGAATTTTTTCCACGTGACTGTTGGTTGCAGCCGAGTCGTTAGTCATATCACAGTGGGATAAATACATGCAGATTTTTTATATTTGTCCAGAATATGGTTAGATCAAATGCTTTATTTTTTTGGAATTTTTTAAATGAGACATGAGACATTAAGCTATTTTGATAAAATATCATGATTTTACGCTGACAGAACGGCATGTCGTAGTTGAGTAGTTGATGGACCATCATAAAGCTGAAAATTGGATTTTTTTTTTTTTTTAGTTTTTATAGTTTCTGGCTTTGATAGTTGTTGTGATTTTGTCATTCTTTAAAAAGATACCATGCATATCAAACCCCTCAGTGGGTTTTATGGTTCAGAGGGTTAACTGTAAAATACTGCTACTCAGAACTTTTCACTTTAATTTTTAAGCCTGCATTTATATTCCTGCTCTCAAAAGCATTAAAGTACGTGCACACAGTGTCAACAAGGTATTACCATAGATTCTGCACACAAAATTACCTTAAAAACAGCACAAGTGAGACCCCTTTTATGAAAGAAAAAAAAATAACAAAAATGATCCCTGCCAGATTTTATATTAACTTAACGACACTTCACTTTCATTCCACTGAGTAAAACCTCTACATGACTGCTGGCTACCTGCCATTCTGACCGCTCGAGTAGAGACTACTTCAGCCAGGACTTAACACCATTTGGCTGGCAGCTGGTGTCAGTTTTCTCTGACTCTGTGCCACCATTTCAGGAGTTAAACTTAGGTTTTGAATAAAAAAACAAAACAAAACAAAACAGAAAAGCTCTTACAGTTTTATCACCTCGCTGTCTTCCAGCAATATGGCCTCCATCTGTGTGTTGCAGACAGTAGCCTGTGTGTCTCTGCAGGGTGCTGCTGCTGCTGCTTTGGGAACATGAATAATGCATCTCAGAAAGGACACACACGCGTATAAAAATGCATTTATCGTCAGAAAACTACATTCTATTTGTCCTTTTGTGATTCTTATCATTAAGAGTGCTCATTTCTTTGTCTTTGTGCTGCAACGTACTGATTAATCGCTGATCAGTAGGAGGTTCTGAACCGTAGCGAGCAGCAGTACCTGGTGTGACTGATGAGATTTGAGGCAGCTAATGCAGTTCGCTGTGATGCTTGTGTGGGTGTGTGTGCATGCAGATTTGTTGTTTAGGATTTTTTTTGCAGCAGGAGTCTGAACTGAATGTCTGTGCGTCTGCAGGGAGAAAGACATCGAGCACTTCCTCGAGACGAGCAGGAACAAGTTCATCGGCTTCACTCTGGGAAAGTAGGTGCTTCGTCGAGGACAGTAATACATCCTGATGTCTATTTTAAACCATTTTGTTTAACTGTGCGTTGTCTTGTAGTGACACAGAGACCCTGGTGGGCCTACCCAGACCCATTCATGAGAGCGTCAAGACTCTTAAACAGGTAAGAGGAGACATCAGTGACACAATTTTGCCTTTTTCAAATGAAGCAGTCAAGGTGTGATTGAAGAGCTTTAACAGGGATATTGCATTAACCACTTAGGAATTAAAGCCACTTTCATACCCATTCTCTCAAAGTAATTGGGCAAACTAACATCATTTTAAATATAAGGATTATTTTTAATACTTGGGACACAAATGTGGAACCCAAATGCTGAGTTTCCTCCCTTGAGATGCTTTGCCAAGTCTTTACTGCCTCCACCCGCTGCTTGTTTGTGGGTGTTCCTGCCTTCAGTTTTTCTCCTCGGCGAGTAAAAAAGCAGCTCGGTTGGGTTGAGGTCAGGCGACTGACTCGACAAGCGCTCAGGTCGCCTTCGCAGTATGTTTCGGGTCACTGGGTCTCGTCCGTGTAGCGTCGACTTACCGGTTCGCAGCATTTGAGTGAGTCTGAGCAGAAAGTACAGCTCTATACGCTGTTCTTCACTAAATGACTCAGTTCCACTGGCAGCTACACATGCTCACGCTAGAACTCGGCCTCCATCGACAGATGATGTGGTCGTGAATCCTTCCTGTCCTCTTGCATCCTTTTCTCGTTCCATCGTTCTGGTACAAGTTCGTCTTGGTTTCATCTGTTGCAAGAATCTTGTTCCAGAGCTTCTTTTTTTTTTAGACGTTTTCTAGCAACGTCTAATGTGGTCTGTCTGTTCTTGAGCATTACTAGTGGTTTTAGATCTTGAGACAAACCCTCGAAGGTGGCTCTTGATTGTACATAATGACTCACTCACCTCTTCTGTTTTTGACTTCACTAAATGATGTGAAGGAGTTTGTCTTCATCAAAACAATCATCTACTTTAGTTATCTTCCGTGGTCTTCCAGGACTTTAGGTGTTGCTGAGCTCATCAGTCACTTAACTCACTGCTATCGCTCTGATACTTCTCTTTTGTTCTTCGTCCTACTGTTGGCCTCCTTCACTTGCATCAACACCTCTTTAGACCACAGAAAGTTCCTGTGAGCAGCAGCCAAACACAAGTTCAACACTTAAAAATCAGCTTTATGTCCTTAATTTGTCATAAAATAACAGCAAACAGCTCATCAGTCGCTTGACTAATTACTTTCCCTGTGAGAAATTAGAGCCTGTGTGAAATGTGGCTGTAATTACTAAATAAAAACTCAAAGTCTCCATTTGATTGCTTCATTTCAAATCCTAGAGACGAAACTATCACTTTACAAAAACCTAATGTTCCGATGCTGCATGTTATTTTTTCTCATTTCTCTAAATGCCCTTTTCTTCTCGTTCTCCCTCGCATTGGCTCATTATGGCTCGAGTGTTTCCTAATCGATAGTCCCACGTTGCTGAATCCCCTGATATCGGCATCCCACTTAAAAATCCATACCTCCCGTTTAAACGGACTGATAAGTGTAGTTACACTAAACAATCCTCCCCCTGGTGCCACCCAACAGTGTTAATTAACCTGAAGCCTTTATATGCAGTGTTTTGTGTTGTATCGTTACCGTTTCTTCCCTTTTTTTCAGCATAAATACGTGTCCATTGCTGAAGTGCAGATCAAAAGAGAAGAAGAGCTGCAACAGTGTCCGCTCACTCTGGTTGGTAACGTTAGTCACTTAAACCTAAAATATAGAAAAACATGCTTCTCCAGTTAGCTACTAAAAACAATAATTAGTTGAAATATTAACAAGCTGTTTGCCTCATTCAGTGGATGCTGTTGGTTCTAAATTTACACCGTACATGTGTGTGTTCAGGGCGAGGAGGAGGTGGAGGAGACTCCAACAGAGATGCTCTACCTGGGAATGCTTCCCAACCTCTCACAGTATGTGGTGAGTGGCTCTTAATTAAGTTTTTCATTAGCGTTATTGCTCCATAATCCCACAAGCTTCGACCTTGGAAACAAGCAACGCATCACCACAGGCAGAATACTGATTCAGAACTAACTTTAGGCGAGAAAAGTTTCAAAATATTAATGTAGGTTGGATTTTTTTGTGTTAATCTTGCACGTCTGTGAAGCTGTGAAGTCAGTATTAGGCTATCTGAGGAGCACTGCAGAGAATTCTAAGATGGATTTGCCTTTTATTTTGTACTAGAATAAACATATGGAAGATCTTTTGACTCGGACGTCATAAATAAAAACAAATCTCACACATATCTGTCTGCTTCGGTGTAGTGTTTTACTTTGTTGTGTACTTTCTGTCAGATCGCCCTCCTGAAGCTGCTGCTGGCTGCAGCTCCGACCTCCAAAGCCAAAACCGACTCTATCAACATCCTGGCTGATGTGCTGCCTGAAGAGATGCCGTAAGGAAACACTGCTGCAGTCCTTGAATGTCTTGTTTTTTTCCCCCCCGGTGCTGTTTTTATGCTGCCGCAGACATTCAGGCGATTTTGGAGAACAAATGCAGTTTTACAGCCTAATTGTTGAGCAGTAATTGGTTATAAAAAAAAAAGATGCAATGTAATAACAGGAGTCCTCTTGGGAGCAACTCCTTCACCGTTATTTAGAGATAATCAGGCTGCTATTTATATATTATTTTTTTTCCATTTTTGTCCAATCACATTGCAAGAAAAGCCTTTTTTTTTCTCATCAGCTGTCTTGGCTGATGGTGCAGTGTTGAAAATACACTCCTTGTGGGTTGTTTTTAGTCTGTAGGATGGCTCCGTTTTTTAGCTGACACTCAGCCAGTGAAAGGAAAGACAGCTTCCCTGTTGGAAAAAAAAGAAAGAATAAAAACCACCAACTCAAAAAAAAAAACAACCCTCAACCTTGTCTGACATTTTGATGGCTGAAATCCATATTTTTTTCAACCTGCTTTGAAATAATAGCTTGGCAGTAGTTAAAAAAAAACCTCAGATATCTGCTTGTTCAAGGCAGAACCGTCCGTCTCTTACTGTTTTTTTAATCTAAGCAAAGCTGTGTTATTATTAATATTATAATTAAAGACCTGAAGGTCTGTGTGTTTGCACGTCCTCCAGCATCACAGTCCTTCAGAGCATGAAGCTGGGAATCGACGTGAACCGTCACAAGGAAATCATCGTCAAGGCCATCTCGGCTCTGCTGCTGCTGCTCCTCAAGCACTTCAAGCTCAACCATATCTATCAGGTAGCAAACACATGCACCTCCTGCAGGCACCTCGCATCTCCCATCTTCTCCGTCTCGCCTCCCTGCAGCACACATATATCCACATACGTTCCTGCACCTCCCCCCATGCCGTCGCCTTCCTTCACCTGATTAACCGGTCAAGCATGCCATTACTTTCCTCCGTTAATCCTCTTCTCCTTCTCCCACCTTTGGACCCCCATCCCCCCCTCTTTCACATCTCACAACCTCCTGATTCAGCCTCCCAGTGAAAACCGATTGAAAGAGATTGGGATAAAATCGACTTGTTTTTCAGGTGGATTTCTCCCCATATCAGTTATTTGACTTCTTTGATCAGTAGTTTTTTGGATGAGGGATGCAGATGTTTTCTGTTGCTAGGAAGGGACATTCCTTCACCTGTTTAAACTCACTCTTGTTGTAATGGTAGCGCCCTCTGCTGCCACAAAAGGAGATTAACATTTTTTTTTGCAGCAGTGGGAAGTCAAATTGATTACTTTTGTCCATTATTTGAGCATTCAGTTTCAATGTTACGGCGAAATCTAGCACATTAAACAACCGCAGTGAGCTCAAAATGCTTCAATATCATCTCCTGATGTTTTCGGAAGTGAAACTGCTCCCGGTTTTTAATCTTGGTAAAGCTTCCTGAATGAGGTGAAGGATTTGTATAGCTGCCACATGACAATAAAAATCCTCTGGTTCTTGATCTTTTCCCCACACGAGGAACTCGTCAGTGATACAGGATTACCGGCTGCAGGATTATGTTTTTTTCTCGTCTATTCTTTGTAGACATTTGGATTTCCCCCCTCAAACAACATCACAGTGTGGCAGAAATGTCATCTGACAACCAAACGGGAATTCAAATGAAGGAATATACATGTAGAACATATTAATCCGGTGTGATTTGTTTATTGGACCAAAACTAACAGTTCAGTCGGGAGGAGGTACGTTTTTAAGTCGTTGCCAAATTCTCTAACTGTTCCTCTCCGCCGCCTCCTCTCTTCCTGCAGTTCGAGATTGTCTCCCAGCACCTGGTGTTTGCCAACTGTATCCCACTCATCCTCAAGTTCTTCAACCAGAACATCATGTCCTATATCAGTGCCAAAAACAGGTAGGATCATTTTCCCTGGTGCTACACCCTCACTAAGAGTGCCGTCGGCTTTGTTTTGAAATGCAGATTTCAGTTTGAACAGCCGAGCTCAAGACTCTGTATAAATTAATGATCTCTAATAGCATGTACCTGACTAATTTCAACCACAGATGATGCATTTCTTAAAAAGTTAAAATGAAGAAAGCAGCTCAGTGGCTGCATTTTAAAAATTCTCACAGCAACAGCCGTCACAGGTTTCTTACACTTCTTGTTTTTGATTACCTGCTATGTAAGTATGGCCTATTTCACATTAAATATAACATCACAAATTACATAAAGAATTACTGCAAGAGGAATGTTTGAGTGTTTTTTCTCTAGCTTATGTGCACGCTGCACTACAGGACTGTATATATTATGTACTTTAAATCAGGAGTAGGTGACAATAATTTTTTTATTTGTCTTTTTGGTTCTTGAAGATGTTCCACCTCTCACGAGAACTCAAGACTGTATTATGAGTCCCTGATATGTAGACGCTCTCCTCTGTTTAGAGATGGCTCCTCCAGTTTAACATGAATGGTTTTATTCACTCTTTACTCTATAACTGTTTACGACACCAACTATCAGGTACTTCTAATGCAGTCTTGAGATCTCTACCCAGAAAATTCCACTTCTATTAACATCTTGAGTCTCTTTGCAGCTTCACAACCATTTACACCTCGATTCACTGGAATCTTGGACTATTAATGAGCCATGTAAAGTCTGGATAAGAGTACATACTGGGGACTCCATATCTGTCATAACTGGAGAAGCTTCTTGGTTGAGAAGTGTAACATCTTCAAAAACAAAATAAGAGAACCTCTTCGTAATGTAAAGTGATAGGTTGATGTGTAAAGTGATTTTTTCCTCATGTGTTCACATTGTAGTATCTGTGTTCTGGACTTTCCCCACTGTGTGGTCCATGAGATGCCTGAACTTACAGCTGAGAGCCTGGTGAGCACCGTTAGATCAACTCTGTCTGATTGAGCTCCACTGGATGACGGTTAACTAGAAATGTGTGACCTCGGTGTATCTTTGTGTGTTTTCAGGAAGCAGGAGACAGCAACCAATTCTGCTGGAGGAACCTGTTTTCTTGCATCAATCTGCTGAGGATCCTGAACAAGCTGACCAAGTGGAAGCACTCGAGGACCATGGTGGGTAATGCTGCACCACTGCAAAGCCTCATAAAGAAGCCTTGAACATATTCAAACTGTTCAGATACACCACAGAATGGATGTTTGCCTTGCTTGAACTGAAGCATACAAACAAGCAAAACAAGATGGTAAACTTTAACTGTGTCGTCAGTTTTTGGGGACAGTGCAGCTCTGTGAAACTTCAGATTTTACACTGTATTTGTGTAATATGTGTAAGTTAACATCTACAGACTATAGTGGAACTGTAGGGATAAAGTTAGTCAACCTCCAGCTGGTACTGGAAAATAAATGCTGTCAGGCTCATCAAGAGCCAAAGTTGAAGCCCTGTTGGAGAAAAAGTTTTTTTTTCTTCTATCCTGGTTGTTTAATTTATGAAAACAGACACTTTGTGAACCATGTAAAGGGCCCTGCACATTTCACATGAAAATATAAATAGAAGGCCGGTCTATTCTTATGCTTGCTGGTCTATTTTTAAATCTACATGGTGCAGACACATCACTTGCAACTGCTCTCTTGTTGCAGCTTGAACTCTCTGCATACGATAGCCATGGTGTTAATGTGGAACTTTCATTTGAACTCAGTGTCTTTATCATGAAATACATGTGATATCTGCCTAATTTTAAGTTTCTAGAATTAAATACAGGAGAAATATCTGCAGGTTTTTTTTTTTTGCATTTGTGGTTTAAAAAAAATGTTCTTTCTCTTTTCAGATGCTGGTTGTTTTCAAATCTGCCCCCATCCTGAAGAGAGCTCTGAAGGTGAAGCAGGCCATGATGCAGCTCTACGTTCTCAAGCTTTTAAAGATCCAGACCAAGTACCTGGGCCGCCAGTGGAGGAAGAGCAACATGAAGACCATGTCGGCCATCTACCAGAAAGTCCGCCACAGGCTCAACGATGACTGGGCCTACGGAAACGGTAAATACCAAGTAGCAAGACTCATGAACCCACTTTGAGCCGGTAAAGATAAAGAACCATTTAGTGTTTTAGTGATGGTGGTTTATCGCTCATTACAGATGACATGCTTTGGGTTATTTTTTTTGACAAAGACATGAACTGATTTAACATCTACAGCAGCATCTAGGTTTTACTAAGGCTTTTGTTTTTGAATCATCCGTATTCCTCGTCAGTGTTTACATACTCACTGAAAAGAGAGATCACGGGCTAAACAGTGACAAATACAATAAAAAAAGGAAAAAGGGGATGTACTACAGATATAAATAGCAACATAAACAGTTCATATCATCTAAAAAATGCTTTTTTCAAGCAGCATTTTGGTTGGAACACGTGTGACTCACTGTTAAAGCCCTAATTCATGATTCATGGTGATGAAACAAGTGTATTATGTCATCAAAGATTATCAAGTGCAGCTCAGACCTCTGCATCCCAAGTGGTCACATTTGTATGCACTGCAGGTTCACTTTTCAGTGTAATATCAAATCCTGCACCTCTGTGGAAACAGCACAACCGTGGCTAGAAGCAGGGAGACACAAATCATAAAAAAACACAGTTGAAATTCTTTGATTGTTTATTTGACAGAAATTGACCACAGGTATTACCAATACTGGAAAAAAATGGTGACACTACATATTATAGATATTTTACTACCTCAAGGTTTAATTTGTTTCCGTACTTGTTTCCTATCTGCTCTGCATAAACACAGCCTGAAGTTCAGCCAAAATGTCCCAGAATTTTGTTTTTACATTAATGTTGGTGGTAGTTAACCCACCAATGGCTTCACAATCGTATGAAGGAGTGCAATTTGTTTGTTTTTTTTAGGGCGAATGGTTAATTTTAAAAAATTTTTATAGAATCAGTTTGTTGCAGTTGCTTTATTTTTGGCAAAAATCTAAACGGAACATGTGGAATAAAGTGATTTCGTTGAAATATCCCGATTTTGAGCTCAGATTTGGTTACATTTTAAGACGGAGCAGATGAGTAGTTCAAGGAATGATCCAACAGTTTTATCTGTTTTTACAGTTTCTAGCCCAGATAAATGGTGTCATGATTTGACTTTTCAAAGACAACATGCCTTTTAAGGGTTCAGAGGGTTAATTTGAAGTAGTGTTACAGAAAGTGGGTTCTAAATTAGGAATAATCTGCAGTGCTCAGAACACACTGTGACCTCATACTGGTCACAACTCAGCTTAACCTTTCAGATCGTTTTGAATGAAGCGTTCATGAGGCTAATTAGCCCCAGCAGTCATCCTCTGTAGCCTCCTACAAAGCTGATTAACAGAAGAGAGACAGCACCATAAATAATTTACTGGAGGCTGTGAAAACGCGACATATCAGGGTAGAAATAACTACAATAATGCATGTGGGTGTTCATGTATCTGGTTGTATGATTCCTGTATGTTCACATGAGTGTGTGTGAAACACTCCAGCAACCACTGGCGAACAGTCTGGATTGTGTTGCCATAGCAACGTGGGACGGGGGGGGAGGTGGACTTTTCAGGGTCACCATCCCTCACGGGAGAGCAAGTGATCTGTCACCATGAGTGTTGGAGAGAGGGAGATGGATGGAGGCAGAAAGAGGGAGAATTCTATAGGAGAAAATGAAGATGAGCAGAGCGAAGAAAAGATGAGACATGATAGATATTTTTTTTTTTTTGTCATTTGGTTTTGGTGGCAGATATCGACGCCCGACCGTGGGACTTCCAGGCGGAGGAGTGCGCCCTACGGGAGAGCATCGAGAAGTTCAACAGCCGCCGCTACGATAAGAACAAGAACGGAGACTTCACACCGGTGGACAACTGCCTGCAAAGCGTGCTGGGCCAGCGGGTGGAGCTGCCCGAGGACTTCCACTACAGCTACGAGATGTGGCTGGAGAGGGAGGTGTTCTCGCAGCCCATCCAGTGGGAGGGGCTGCTGCAGAATCCATAACCCACTGGAGGCAGGCAGGGAGGGAGGGTAGTGGAGGGGGGAGAAATATGGGGCTTGATGCAAATGTGAAGGTTGTAGCGATGGAAGTGAGGTAAGAAAGCAGCAGCTGGAGGTTGTGAAGTCACCAGCGAAGTGAAAATGGAGTGCTTGGTTTTGATGCCACACACTAACATGTGCCTACGACTACTGTGAACACACACGACAGGCAAGATCAGAGGTAGCAGTTTATATAAGAAAATCTGGTAGCAGGAGACTGTGTTAGCCAGTTTTACTGCCCCCCTCATGTCACACAACAAAAACGTCCGTTTATATTATCCAGTACGTCCCCTTTTTTAACACGTCGGTGCTTTTCGGACTCCTTAGTAACCTATTTATTTGTATCAGTGTGTGTCGGTAAACATTTTATGATGAAGAAAGATGTACATTTGAATTATTTCTATTCTTTTTTTTTTTTTTTTTAACGCAAAGCCTACTGCGGGTTATTGGGGGTATTTGATTGTCGATGATAGGTTTTCAAATCTTTTCTTATGTATTTTCTAGAAAAAAAAAAGACAAACCACAGGGTCACGATAGTCCAAATGTAGAAGTAGGAGCTGTTTGCTCTCATGGCACCAAAAAAAACAAAAGGTGAGAGAAATATATACCAGCTGTAAGTGTATGGGTTTGTTTGTGGATGTTCAAACTGTGTGTGGGCAGAAAGAAAAAAGAAATTCACAAGTGGGGAAATGTGGAGAGAAGGTAGAGAATAGTGATGCTTGTTTGGAAGAAATTGTATCCTATTTGTTTTCTTTTTAATGTAAAAAAACAGAAAACCTTGTACAGAATTCCTGCTATTCCAAATATCTTCAAATCCCAAAGTCCCATCTGTAAACACTGATGTCCTCAAATCAAGTTTATTTTCATTTTGCAGTACATACACAGTAGTACAGGCAAGATAAGAGAGCTTTCTTCAGCATCATTTAATTAGTCAGTTTTGCAGAATGCACGTCTGGGATAAGACATTAAACGTTCACTCTCGCTGTCTCCTGAAGGGGCGGCAGCATCCATGCGCGCCACCATCAAACCTATAGGATTTGTTCATTTACACACTGAGCCTCAGCCGCATTCGAGTCCTGAGGGGTGAACTATGAAGCGAGAATAATGAGTTTGCAAGATGCGTTGAGCCTAAAGTCAGAGTTCTCAGTGTGATAAAGGTCTGTGTTAACTTGCTATATCGCCATGGCAACTGATGCTGCCAAGTGTCTTGTACTGCCGGTACTGCAGCTAATAGAGCAACAGACTAGAAAACGAATTGGTTTATTGGTATTTTTGCTGAGAACATTCAATCACTCACATTAGCGTCACCTTGATTTGGATAAAAACTGAAATATTTCCACTTATCCTTCAACATGAGACAGACCGTCTTGAGTAGCATGTCTAAATGAATGAATTTCAATTTTAAGAGCTCAAATGTTATGTTATTTAGGAGATATGTGGCTGCATTGAGAGTGCACTGATCTGCAAATATGTATTCACTACATGATTAACAATTTTCCACCAGCATGCCTCTTTTGCATCAGTAGCAGCGCTTTTTAGCAGTTTGATATTCTTCATAGCTCTCCATTTATAACAAGCTGTTCCTCTTGACTGAAGTAGGCGACACACCGTGGGGTTCATTTTGTGCGGAAGCAGAGTCAATTGTTGCGTTAAATGCCCTTTTTTTATTAGAGTGCACACAGAGAATAAGGAAGAAAACCTGTTTAACAAAGAAAGCTGATAACCGTTGTCGTGATATATCTGCTTGGGGTTTTGTCAAACTTGCTTCATAGTTCATTCCTCAGGATTGCTGCATACAAAAGGATGCTAACCAGACATGTATTTGACTTTTCTCTTTTACTAAACTTGTACTTTTTGGATAAAGCAGAAACTCCGGCTCTGTGCCACTTGTTGTTGACACGTTGCTGCTCCTTATGTGCCGTTGGAAGTGAAAACACGACTGCGGTTCTCGCCGAGTGTCGAGCACTTGTGGGTGTTTTCCTTCCTCAGGCCAAGAAGCCGCTGCGCAAGTAAACTCAAATGTGCCATCTGAAGGGTTTTCTAAATGCAGTTTTGAAAGAGAAAAGCCTCCAGGATCAAGGCGAACTTGTTGATTTCAATGCGCTCTTCAGCCAGACCAGCACAGCTCTAATAAAGAGCCTCTCGGTGTTGCTTCCCTGAGCTTTTCTACGAAGGTTAATCGAATATCAGCGATTATTTAAAAAACGCAAAAAGCAGGAATTCTGTGCGAAGCTGAACTCCCTGCTGACACCCTCTCCATCTGCCTGACAACAGCACAATTACATAAACCACTGAGCACACTGGTGGCGGCCTTGGCCAGCACACCTTTGCCACCTTTGCTTGAAAGAACACACAAGGAAAAAAAAAATGGTGCTGTTTTTCTAGTTTGTCGTCACTGTAACTTCCTTCACCTGCGACTACCTAAGCGGGGCTCCAGGGTCGAAGTGTTTTCTTGGACACGTCTCTACACAAACGAGCACAGAGGACAAAAAAGATCAGCTCTTTTCCTATGATTCAAATTGTCACCCAACTTGCTCCGAGGGGTCAAGAGCCGTCACGTATCAACTCTGTATAGAATAATAATTTGGGTCTTCTCTGTAGAAATCGTGCATGACCACCGTTCTGTTCTGTGCCTGTGTTCGACATTTTAAACGGCTAATTTTTCGGGGGGGGTCTAATGATGTTTCCAGCACAATAAGAATTGTATTTTTTCCTCTTAAAGTCACAATGTTCTGCATCACAACTATTTATTTTTCTTCAGGATATCTTTAAAAAAAAATAATATTGTATACTTTATAGACTCTCAGGTTTATGGAGATAATATATTGCAAAAGTTTTAAAAAGCTTCCTTGCCATCGTCTAGCTCACTACCTGCAGTGAGGAATAAACATTTATCGTCACGTTCTCTCGCTGCAGCAACACCTGAAGCACCAACCTCTTACTGCACAGGCTGTACATGGTCACCGTAACCCCATCGTGAGTTTTGTGTCGACGCATTTCAAGTTCAGGTGTACTTTTTTGTATCTCGTGCCAAAATTCGAGTGCCATTTCCTATTTTTTATTTTGCCGCCATATTGAAATCACTACTGAAGGTTTGCAATACAAAAAAAAAACAAAAACAAAACGTTATTTTCTACCTGAAAAATTGTACAATCGATGAAAATTGCTGTTTCTTGTATCAAAGTGTTTAGCATTGTTATGGATGTTACTATGTGTTTTGTTACTCACATTTCCATATCTGTAAAAGTCTAGATACAGTAACTACACAATACTGACTTTGTTCAGGGGTACGTGCAATTACAGATTCCATAGAGGCATTATACAATAGAATGACAGATTACAATATCAGAGTTGCTTATTAAACAGTGTTGACCACTTTTTTTGTTTGTGAACTAGTTTTTTTTTTTTTTCTATTCGCCGGAGGGGGGTTACAGAGCTGGTTCACACTCAGAGCTGTGTGTGGGCACACACTGAAGGTCAGACTGACCACACGCTTGCGTCACATCACACACGTCTGCAGGCCAATGTTCCAGCGGTTTGGGCGCAGCAGCTGGGGAAGGGGATGTGAGCGTATGCCCCCTTTTTGTGATTGGCTGGTAGCGGGATGATGTAAAACTCCCCCTGTGCTCGTCCTTCAATCTCACAGATGAGAAATCAGGGAGAAGTGAGGGATAAATAATGCTTCTTTTGTCAGGCTTAAAGAGGGCTATGAAATGAGTGCAGCCAACTTTCCACTAATATTCTTGAAGTAAGTGCTCTCACAGTTACTGCACACATACAAGCAGAGTGAGAAGATAGCAGAGCTAAAATAACCCCAGTGTGATATTTCCCAAGTGAAATCAAGCGACACTTGGCGTATCGGTGCACTGCAGCCAGTCAAACAGGAGATAAAGCTGAGAGAGTGACTCAGAAGACGTGACTCACTGATTTCACAGATATTTACCCACTAGTACTACGTCAATATAAATGGATGTGTGATCTTTGTACATGAGCAGAAACATGGGTCTATCTGTCAGCATTTAGCACAGTAAACACATTTATTTAAAACGTGTGAAAGCAGTACACATGAGTATCTATCACAATTTCATTTTAATGCAGAGCATAGAATGTTTTATACAGAGCAGTGCACAAAAGCTGGTTTTGCCTAAATGCTGTGTTGCAGTTTGAGGCCCAGCGCTGCTTTCCCGTGAAACTCGCCGGTCCAAACCAGGCCCTGTGCGTTAATAAAGGCCCCGTCTCCCTCCAACCTACAACACAGCAGTTGAAACATCTAAAATGTTGATGCAGTTGTACAAACGAAAATAGCAGTTGTTTAGGGTTCCCAGAAAATTACTGCTTAAGGTTTAATTAAAAAGAAACATCAGGTCAATTTAAGTGGTTTACAGACACACGTAAACAGTAAACTAACCCTCTGAACCCCAAGCAGTTTCTGGCCGTTTTGTTCTTTTGTGACATTTTTACTCACTGTAGGTTCAGTTTTAGCTGCAATATAACATCCTGCAACTCAGTGGAAGCAGCAAAACAAATCAAAGTTACATTTCTTTGATTATTTATTTTAGAAAAACTGTGAAAACCTGGAATCAACACATACAACATTTTACTAAGTGACCACAGGTGTTACCATATTAAAAGAAATGGCGACTCCATATGCTATAGATATGTTACATGGTGTCTAATTTGGCAAATTATTTTGGCAGGTTTGGGGGTTCAGAGGGTTAATGCTGAATATGTCATATTGAGGTGGACAAAACCACTCATTGCTGTGAAGATGTAAAACTGGAGCTTTGCTGTTACAGGCTAACCCTGAACATTTGCACATCAGTTAGGCCACAGCACCATGGTACAATATAGTCATTCGAAAACTGCCTGTTTCAGAAAACACTGATTAGATGATGTAGTAAGTTCCAAAAAAAACCCAACTTTTTACCTGTTCTCTTGAAAGTGACCTTTATACACTGATTTATCTGGGAAGGTGTATGTCCCCGTGCCGTGGTACATGTTGCCTTTGAATTCTCCTTCATATACTGCTCCAGAGGGATGCTGCAAGGTCCCTCTGCCATGCATCTGGGACAGACACAGAGAGAGGGCATGACTAAGCAGCATACAGCCGCTCAGTGTTTTGTCACAGTGGGTCGACACACAACAAATACACACTTTGTCCTCGTGCCACTCTCCGATGTAGGTGACACCACTTGCGGAGGTGTGTTTACCGTTACCACTTCTCACTATCGCTCCACATTCAGATCTGCTGCACTCCCCCTCTGTGGAGAACACATGGTATAGTCAACCAGGGGAAGACAAATCTAGTGTCTTTTAAGGTGTATATATATATTCAGAGTCAAAATGAGTTTCATTGCACAGCCATGTAAACACTAATGAGCATGTTTTTTTTGTTTTTTTTTTTAAATGAAGGATAATTTTTTTTAAAAATCTTAATTTTGCAAGTTCAAGAAACAGCATGTGTAGCAAATACGAGTGATTTAAAGTAATTAAAAGTTCTTTAGGTTCTAATTCTACTATATTTTATCATCATTGCTACTTAGATTTTCAATAAAATAATGTTAAATCAGCAACCAGCAGAGATGCTTAGTTTACAGCAGCAAGAAATACTCTCACACTTTCACATATTACAGAAAAAAAAGTATTTGTTGTTTTTTATTCAAACTAATAGTTCCTCTTCTCACAATTCTCATGTAAACATTAAAAAACACTCTGTACATGCATATTCATATACATTTATATATATATATATATATATATATATATATATATATATATATATATATATATATATTCAGAGTCAAAATCAGTTTCATTGCACAGCCATGTAAACACTAATGAGCATGTTTTTTTTTTCATGAAGGATAATTAAAAAAAAAAAATGTAAGTGTTGCAAGTTCAATAAACAGCATGTGTAGCACATACGAGTGATTTTAAGTAATAAAACGTTCTTTAGGTTCCAATTCTACTATATTTTATCATCATTGCTACTTAGATTTTCAATAAAATAATGTTAAATCAGCAACCAGCAGAGATGCTTAGTTTACAGCAGTGAGAAATACACTTTCACATATTACAGACAAAAAGTATTTGTTGTTTTTTATTCAAACTAATAGTTCACCCTCCTCACAATTCTCATGTAAACATTAAAAAACATTCTGTACATGCATGTATATATAAATAATATATGTAAATCAAAAAAGCACAGGTGTATTTTTATTGTTGAAATGTTACATGAACATAGCTAAAAACGACTTCTTTTTATTCCCTAGTACTAGTAAAATGATTTTAATGCTGTTTATTTATCTCTCGGGGCATCTCACTCCAGTTTACACTAACTGTACTAAAAGTGTAAACCTTCATCACTCACCATATTTGTCCCCATTTGGGAAAACGTAGGACACTTTTACAAGCCCTTCATCTGTAAACAGACACATTTGCCTTGAACACTCAATGAAAAATGTGCAAGCCATGAATTTGGGTATTTACTATAATTGTGCAAAGAAATGAAAGTCATAGAAACATTAAACAGCAGACAGCAAAGACTAAAGAAGTTGTTTCTTACCAGACATCTGTGGCGGCTTCCAGGAGCTCCGCAAACCTGCTGCAAAACCGACCTATATGCTGTAAAAAGAAGAAGGAAAAAAAAGATGTAAAAAGTCAAATAACTATTTTTTTAAAAAAACTGAAAATGACACCAGCTAACTCGGTGCCATTTTTGTTCACTTAATCGCCATATAAATCGCGAATTTTGACAGGAAGCTGTGACTTGTGCGCTGCTATGGCAGCTCAAAACAAACCTTTGTTGCCATGGTCACGGATTTAGCGCTAACCTAGCTAAAAGAAACGTCTTAAACCGAAAGTTTTAAAAATAAACAAAAACGTGTTTTTCTTCCACTCATATCGATTATAATTCAGCCGATGATTTTAAAAGTCAAACAAGTTTTTAAACAAGTTGTAATAATGACACAGCTAACACTCTGGTGTATTTGTTCCCTTTAATCTTCTTTAAAATAGCGAGTTTTCACGAGAAGTTCTGAGCTGCTCCGGCAACTCTGCGCAAACCGCTGTTGCCATGGTTACTTATTAGACTAGTTTAAATAACGGTTTAAACTTTAATTTTCTTTTCGTAAAAAACGCGTTTTACTGCAATGTATGCCAATAATTATTTAACAGATTGACTTCAATATATTGTTAAATACGTATATATTCACAAAGTCCTCGGAGCTGTCTGTGCGTTAACCCGGAAAAGAAACTTTGAACTCCGAGTTTCGGCCAATAGAAGAGATGCAGGCTGCCGGTGGTAGCAACAGCTGGCCCAGGTTTGCTCAAACTTACTGTTAAGAGTTTTAATATCTTTTTTATTTATATTTTTCTTACCACTTGTAACATGTCTTTACATTTTCTGGCACTTATGAGCAGTGATACGTCTCGACTTTACTTTCGTGGAAGCTCCTCTCAGTTAGCTTGTTATATCAGAAGTGAGCTTGCTAGCTGTTAGCTTCTTAGCTAGCCGAGGCTCAGTACTTAAAGCTCACCACTCGGCGCTTTATTTCTACTATTTGTAATACGACTCATGTCCTGCTTTTTTTGCGCTTTGCTGAGGATACCCTCTGCCAGCCACATAACCGTGAAGTTAAATGCTCATCGTCCCGGTTGGGGAGGGTTTGTGTGTCTGCATGTTCACTTTGATTGCATAATTGTAGCCAGCAGCGTTGTGTGTCAGCCACCATCTCATTGCTTGCACTTGAACTGAAGTGCCACAATGAATCACCCCACAGCTATATGCGACTGTGTGCTCTGCTGTGGATGTACAGTAGCTGCCTGCTCTGCCCGCAACCAGCAGCTCTCTCTGGTCTGTCGAGGATTGCTGGATGCTCCTAAGGCTAAGAGAATTTACTCAAACTGTGCATTTTGTGTCTCTTTTCACAGATTGTTTGCTGCTATGATAGGACACTGATTTAAGGTGAGTATATTTTAGAGGGACAGCAGTGAATTTCAACATTATTTTTGTAGCTACAGTGATGCAAAGGAAGCATGTGATGACACCTGCCATGTGTGTTTTGACAGAGAGATGAATGCAAGGAGAAGAGGTGGGAAGCCAAACAGAGGAGGGGGGAGATTTAACAAACCAAGGGGTGGTGGTGGTGGAGGAGGCGGCGGTGGAGGTGGTGGAGGTGGAAGTCGGAAGGGAGGAGCTGGCTGCTGGGATGATGGGGATGATTTCAGCCTCGATTTTGGACCCTCTCGTTCCAGCAAGTATGAATTCATCGCAAAGGAATTATCACAGTGTGCTGAATTTATATTATTGTTTTTTTTACCCTCTAATTCCACCTCTCTGTTTACCTTCAGACCTGGCAAAGGACGAGGTGGTGGTGGTGGTGGTCGTGCCGGTCCCAGGAACGGGGGTCGAGGAAGGGGTGGGAGGGATCGAGACAGAGACAGCAGAGGGGACGGGAGAAGCAGCGGTAAGGCTCTCCCAAGATCCCTGGCGAGTACCAGGACGCTTCCAAAGTCAGGTGACAGCATCAGGCCGGAAGCGAGCAACATGCCCATGCCGAGGATCTTCATGACTAATGAGAACCAAGAGCAACTCAAGGAGCTCCTGCGGGATCTCCAGACCCAGGGCTTTGATGAGCCCTATGAGTAAGTACATGATTCTAAACATGCCTTTTGTTTGTTGAAAGAGACTTAATTGGATGACCAAGAAGTAAACTCATGCCACCCTCTCTGCCTCAGTGAATGTGGTTCAGATTATTCGGGGGGAGAAGAGGACGAGGAGGAATTTGATGAGTTGGATCACCGTGAGGAAGGACAGTTTTGGGCCACTAGCGATGACCCTGTGGAGCGAGCAGAGAGCCCGATGTATGACCCAGAGTCTGACGATGAGCGGCCCACGCCTGAACCTGTCATCTCCTTATTTGCTATAGGAAAACTCTGCAGGTGATTGTCTTTTATTTTACATATTAATTAGAATTTTGGAGATATAGACTGTCATCCTGCATTTTTTTTATGATTCTGCAATGTGAGAAAAACTAAGTCTGGTTTATATTTTATATTTTATCTTCTAACTCCTTTCCTCTGTCTAGGTATGGTTTCGACAGGGAACGCAGCAAACAGGCGCTGGAGTGTGGAGGAGGGGATTTCGGGGCGACACTGGAGCAGCTCCTCCACCAGGTTTTCAGCGAGCGCTATGGCCAGAAGGCAGTTTCTCCTGACAACCTTGCAATGGTGCCTATGGATGAGTGCTTAAACCAGCGGCAGGAGGAAGCTTTGGCCCTGGCTGCCATTTACAGTGAGCGCTTCAGCGAGCGCATTGCCAATGCAGTCTGGACAGTAACCCTGGACCTCTCATTCCTCTCAAACAATTCTGCCAAGAGTGGAAGAGAGGTTGGAAGTCGGAATAGCAGAGGAGGTGCAAACAGTAATGCCATCTGCAAATTCTACATGAAGGGTCAAGGCTGCCGCTATGGAGACAAATGCAAGTTCAAACATGAGCTGCCCACCAAAGGGCAGTCTGGGGTTGATTCCTCAGAGCTGAAGGGCCCGAGCCAGCCTGGCTTCAGCAGCTATTCTCCTCCTGAGTATGAGCTGGAGGTGCGTTTCCCTAAAGGAAACCGTTACCCATTTCAGGCACCGATAGTTGCCTTCAGCACCAATGATGAGTCTGTCGGGGCTGCAGGGAGGCTCAGCGTCACCGAGAGGTTATTTGGCGAAGCTCTGGCTGCAGCAAAGAGCAGCGAACCTGTTGTTTTCACTCTGATAAACTTATGCGAGGATGAGGATGCCATGAAAGAGCTGCTGGCTGCCAGTCATCACAAATACAGCACCCCGCCACCTGTTGTGGTGCTTCCTCCGCCTTCTCTCGCCATAGCAAAGAGCAAGAGTGTGAGGAGCAATGCCTCTGAGGAAAGCAGGAGTAGCACCAGCAGTATTAATCACACAAACAGCAGGAGGAATGTGCTACCCAACAACCAGAAACCCACAGATTGTGAGTCAACCAGATGATTGTTTTATCGCTGTTTAGTGTTTTCAGCATGTAGACTGTATTTATGTTGAAATCTGATCGCTTCTGTGTTTTAAGTGAAAGAGACAGAAGAAGCAGAAGATCTGAATGAAAGGGAGGAGGATGAGCAAGATCAGGCTGTTCCAGTTGAGAATGAGAGCTATGTCAATCTGAGGAAGAAGATGGTGAACAGGCACAACCAGAAGATAAACAACCTACTGCAGGAAAACGGCAAGCTGTGCAGGGAGTTCCAGAAGAAGCAGGTAGAACTGACAAAAAAATAAATCTTGTCTCCGTTTTACCGTGTTCTACATCCTCTTCCACAAAATGTGTTTTAAAACGTTTCCGTTCTTCTGTCAACGTAGTCATCCAGGCGCTTCAGGTCCATGCTGGAGGAGAGGAAGAACCTCCCGGCTTGGCAAGAAAAGGAGAACATCCTGGATTTGTTGGACCGGTGTCAGGTGCTCGTGGTGAGCGGGATGACTGGGTAGGTTAAATGGAGCAGTACAAAGTATTGGCATTGATTTAAAGATTTCTAAAGCGTGATTATATTTTTAAAATGTCCACTGTTTAATTGCATGCTTTATGGCTTAAAAACGTCTATTATTGCCTCTTTATTCGCCCTCAATAAAAAGCCAAATATGTTAAAAAGATTCCTGTTAAAAATCTATAACATCATAGAGAGTTGAAATTAGCAGGCAATTATCCTTTAAAAATGGATAATTCATTAAGAATGTGTTGCTTTGCTCTGAATATTTACTGAGCTAATACAAGTAATTCCCACTGATTGTTGGTACTGAATCCACTCAAGTCACTCAAGTTTTACTCTTGTTATACATTTTTTCACTTTCCCTCTGTGCCTTCTGTGCTTTCTCTGACAATGGGGCTCTTTTTCTTTTGCGATGTTGAGATTCTGCAGATGTTCTTTTAACACTATGAACCCCCAAACCCACCAGACAGTTTAAGTGGTATGTTTTCCTTAAAAATGCTGAGATTACACCATTTAGCAGACCCAGAAGCTGTCAAAATGCAAATTATTAGCAATTACTACTTTAAATTTGTCCTATGGGACCTGCATTGCAAAACTTGATTATGTCAAAGCCTAAAATTTGGATATTTCATCAATATTTGTGTCTGGAAAAAGAAAAAGAAAAAGCGCTGTACTCCTCGGCACATCATGAAGCCATTTGTGACTCAGCTGTGACCAACAGCCATGTGGCAAAAATTCAAGGAGTTTTTGGCTGAACTGAGTTTGACCGCAGGCAGATAGGAGACAAACACGGCAAAACTATATTTAGTAAAACATTGAAGTATGTTACCATATTCTTTGAGTATTAGTAACACCTGAAAGGACTTGGAAAATGTTATATTGTTTCAAGGTGTTTTCAATGTGACTTTTCTGCAGGTGTGGTAAGACCACTCAGATTCCTCAGTTCATCCTGGACGCCTCTTTGAGTGGCCCTGCTGCTCAGGTGGCCAACATCATCTGCACACAACCTCGCCGTATTTCTGCCATTTCTGTGGCTCAGAGGGTTGCTCAAGAACGTGCAGAAAGTCTGGGCAACTCAGTGGGCTACCAGATCCGCCTGGAGACTGTCAGGGTACGGATAC